AATGCACCGCTAGGTATAAATCAGTCCGAATCTGGCAGAATAAGCATGAAAACAAATTCGGTAGTGCTAATGCTCGAAAGATATGAGAGACATAGCACTAGTTGTTTCCACGATATCTCGCATGTCTGCAAAGCCAAAGACATTGTATGGAAACACAACTACTCTTCATTTGGCCCGAGCTTATTGTCCCAGTTCCCTCAGTCCCCTATTTGAAGGCATGACCAGTGTACGCAGGTAGTGTTCTACCAGTCTGTATTTCAAAGGGACATAAGAAAGGGCTTTTTATAAACTTTTTGGTGTGAAAACACCTTTAAGTAACATTTAAAATTTGGTAAAATGCTTAATGCAATAATTTTACTTCAAGTTGCCGAGAAGACTATTTTTGTTTTAATTAACGATTTCAGAGGTTTTCTATGCATAGGGTGAATTTCTGTTTTCGGCCGTAATTTCTAAATACCAGTTGTGGGAGCGTAGCATATACACCAAGTAAATGGTTTGCGGCCATATACACCCACGCTTTTCCTATGGCAGCCGTGCATTCATCCAAAATGTCCACCTTTACTATTTTTCATGCATCGGAACGGAGCACTTATTTGCGTTCACTCACCAAGTTGTGTTCTCCTGTTTAACTGCATACTGAACAAGTTTGAAGATGGAAATTCAGTAAAGTAACATAATATAATTGTTTATTGCTGGAAATGGAACAAGAAACCTTTATGTTAAGGGAATTATTCTTTTCTCGTCTACTAATTGAATTGGAAGTTTCGCACTACAGACTAGTGGAACGTTACCGTGCATGCATACTAAACGGTTCCTGTCTGTAATTGCTTGTTGTTTCCTTGTCGAATTTACGGTTGGAACCATTCCACCACAATCTCGCAACTGCCCTTTTGATCGCTGTCCTGTAGTTGCTCATCGTCTCACACTGCAGTCCCTCGTTTGGTGTCCAATTTCCGTATCGGTCTTGCGACTCACATTCCCTATTTGACCGGTACCCCACCACTGATTGACACACAAACATGTAAATGCTGTTTCGTTACGTCTGCACTTCGCCCGCATCTTTCTCTCTCGAGTCAGGACAGGTCATGCCGGAGTCCATGGGTGATGAACATACTACTCATGCGGCTTACGTTACGGTCCAACATGCATTCCCACCCTAAGGTCGTTGTTACGTGTCCCCCAACAGAATTTTGCGTGACTGGACTACTGACTGTTTCCTGATTGATTCGTTGATGTGATCATGTTGCTGAATACGCGGGCGTAGACGCCGATTCATTGGACTACCTCTTTACAGCAAGATCGTCGCGTTATTATCGTATTGGGTAACTGTGTGTATCCACTTTGTTGAGGACACTGTTGAAGTATGATGTGATTATGATAGTCTGTGGCTTGTAAAATAGCACCGTAGTTCAACGCTGACTGTCGAGCGTCGAATCCTCGGAGGCCGCACATCAGTGTCCTAGGCGTTGTCCAACTATCCCAGGCGCATTTTATGCTAACAGCAAGGATAGAGTGAACGCCTGACGTACTGTTAGACCATGTTGGGTATATTGCGATATTAAAAGGCGATTTCTTACGAGTTAGCCATAGAGCAAGGGCTCTGGACGGCATAGGCATGGTTGTAGATTAGTTAGAAACACAGCGTTCCTGAGGATTTGCAAAAAAAAATCAGCATTTTGGGGCTCGTTTAATGGAACCCTTATTTAACTAGAGAATTATGGAATATAGCATAATGGCCCCTAATTTAGGACCTGGGTGTTAGCCACGTGTCAACTTGTTAAGACTCTACGTCGCTGTGTGTAGCCATCTGGATGGAGGACAATCTAGCAGACAAGTCTAGGTTCGCCTCATGAGTGTTAGTGCTCCGCAATGGCATTACATAACCATCCTCAGATTTCAGTTGCACTTGATTTTGATGACGGCTGCACTTCGGTTTAGCGGTCGGAAGTTGTATGCTGACAGGAAAAAAGTGTACACGGAAAAACGTGCACATTTAAATATGCAGGTTCGGTCGTTTGGCACATACTCAACTATCCTGAGGTGCTGGCCCGTAGCTTAAAGGTAACGAGCTTGTCTTTTAATCCGACGACGCGGGTTCGAGTCTGCGTAGGAGCAGGACTGACTAGCCGAACAACCACCACATGGTGTCAGCTGGGTAGTTCGGGTTAATCCTGCTCCAGCTAATAGTTCGGCGGCAGTGTTCCAGGACATGGTGGGTTAGCGCCTGGCAAGTGCTCTGCCTATAAAAAGTCACAAATGTCTACTTAACAACACCGTTGCCACTGAATAAAGTCATTGCCTTACCGGAGGATCCTACCCATTCGTCAAAGTCAAGCATTTCAAGAATTTCATTTGATCCCTTTTTATATGGGGGAATTCACCGAAGAAACTCACAAATTCACAGCAATAGTAACAAAGTCGCACAACATGATGACTTAAACATACACACATACATATTGCACACACACATATATATCCGGTATGTACTGGTTACCTTCCAACATTCTTGTACCATTACTGATGTTACGCGTTTGTATTACCATGATCATGCCTTTGAAGGCATGTCTCGCAATGCCGAAAATAAGTCATTTATTTAATCATAAAAAGTGCACAATGCAACCTTCCGTTAGATATAACTGTACGGCTGCGAATCCCGTTGCATTCGATCGAGAGATGTGAAGATGCTATTCTTTTATATCCTCGAAGCCTTCGAAGTTTGTTATCCGGTGGAAACACAGTGAGAGCAATGGACGCGTCCGCCGTTTCGTTTATAGAGCAGGGAGAGCAAGTGAACTACCTAGCACTGTCGTCTTACGCACCATAAGTTGCGCATGCCACCACACGGCCTCCAGCGATGTGCGTTATTTGCGCGTTCGAGGTGTGTATAGAGGAAGGGAAGGGGAGGCGGGTGATGAATTAGTCAATCGAAATGGAGGTTCTCATTTCGAACGTTACCTTGGTTGGTGCCACATGACTACCGGGCTGGGATCCGAAGCACGATGAACGTGTTTGGTTGGATACACTCGGCAACATAGTAGAGAGCAGGCTTCATTGGCTTTTGTATTGTGAGGTTCCTTGTCACTTTTCCTCCAGCCACAATTGCCTTCTTAAGGCAAAATAAAAACAAAATAAACTAGTTGGAGTGCTTACTGCGTGTATGGATGGCGAAATGCCACAGTAATTGCATGTTGGTTAGTTTAAAGGAAACCGTGGGTGTATCAGGTGTTGATAACGGGGCTGTGGTCTAGTGACCGAGGCGTAAACCGTCAACCAATGTGTCAAATTGTACTCTGCGCTCAGGCTACCTCTGCCTGAGAAGCTCGAGTAAGAAGTGAAGCAGTCGTAGAGTGCAGTGTGGAGGAATGCATAATAGTATTCATTTATTGTGTTTACGGTTATATAATTATGTTGGATTGCGGGACAATGGCCGAGGTACTTTCACGTCGAGCTAATGTGTGGACTGAGAAATTAAGATGGGCGATTTCTCTAACAGATGCTATCAGCGAAATGAAAGGCGCTGACGTTGATATAGTATGGTAGTTTGGTGAAATGAAACCATCGCGATGACACTTGTAGTTTCACAAAATAACTTACATCGGTAGTGCCAAACATGTTGTAAGTTGCCCTACAATTACTACATCAACAATATGACTAAAGATAAATGCATGAACAGTTAAGACCCTTGACTAGTGAAAGATTTGGGCACAATCATACCCAGCGTGTGTGATACACATGGCTGGTTGTGAGACATTCGCCGGCCCGTAGCCTTAAGTATCACAAGCCTGCTTTAAAATCCGAGAGCGCGGGTTAGAGCCTGCTAAGGGGACTGGAAACCCATGCAGTATCCTTAGCCCACGTGTGACTGGTGGTGGTTGTGCGGCAGCGAAGCGTCGGCACTGCGCATCGGCGTAGTGCTAATGCCTTTTTCAATAAGACATTCATTCTCAAGGATTGAATCATTACATGGAAGGCAGTGAAGATGATAGTTCGCTGCACTGTACTGCATTATAACGCAGGTGCGGGATGCAACATCGCTCCAGAGATCACTCCCCTAAAGGTGAAGCGAAAACTACTAGCAAACGGAAAAGCCTAAGTTGGGAGAATGGTTGGAGAGATGACAAGTAAGTGATGATCGGAATACGATAATTGGTGCAGTCATGATTAAAAAATGCTGCGATGAATTTCTTGTGTCTGGTTGTGATCGAGCTAAGAGCGTCAGAATAATGATCACATGTGATATCAAACGCTCTGATGGAGAAAGCGGGCAGATAATGAGGTGAGTCCCTACTGCCGTCCCGCATCTGCTGGAACAGTGAGGTGGGAAATCACTAAAAGTGGCCTACTAGAAGATGGCACATATTGACAGAGTTCATCTCTCAACCACTGGTGCTCTTCTATCCAATCTATTTCTTTATCTGCTGATCTTTCCACATAACGGTTCCTGCGCCTGCCCAACCGCTTCCAATGAAAGGTTCTGTTTCCTCTCCTCTTTTGTTTTGGTTGTCAAAAACCGTTTTAGTGACAATGTTCAAAACAAATGGACCCGTCCATTTTGATATCAGAATAATAGCTCAGAGGCTAAAGTAACCTGAAGTGAATGCTTTCAGAGATTTGTGGACAATCGGTTAGCATATTTAAGCGTCCAAAAACCTCTCTGGAATGATGACTTCTCGGTCGGTTTCAAGTATTTTTCAAAAGTTCGAACCTGTAGTGTGCCCATTTCATCCACCGTGTTGTTAGAATTTCTTATGGATGAAGAAACGGTAAAAAACATCAAAGCAAATATAAGTATAGTCATTATAAGTAAACGACAAAGACGTGGACTGAAAAGTAAACCCTACAATACAAGCGGAAATAGTCAGGATTTTGTCTAATGTTCTATATGAATTTTTTTTAGATCTGCTAAGACCGATTCAACCAGTTAAGATGGGACAGAATGAGCAAACTGTCAAGTAATGTGGTTAATTGCGCCAAGTTGTCTATTGAAAAAATGGTCAAACCTTTGGAAACGGAAGCTTTGGATCCACACGGATTGATTGGATGGTAATGGGTTCACTGCGTAGACAATAGGCGACTGATTGAGCTTGTTGCTCATGGCGAACTTCCTCATATACGTCAACGCGGTGAGGCCTGTAGTTGTGTAAAGGATGATCACTAACTCCGGGTCCAATGTTATCATCCAAGTGAAGTACCCTCCCAGATGGCCCAAGGCCCAGATATGGATTGATAGATTGATCCACTGGATGTGCCAAAGAAGCCAAGCACGACCAATTGAAATGGTTTAGGATTCGACATTTCTGGTCGTAGCTAAACAGAAGAAATGGTGAACGACAAAAAATGACTATAAAGAATCTAGTCTGATTCTTCGCTGCTGTGACGAAATGGTTCCAATAGGCTATCGGAGATAGGATTCGAAGACGGGTAACTGAGGTATGCAAATGCAACAATATGAATCATAAGAAGCTTGATATCCATTTGCGAAGGAAAGTCGGGAAATATGCACATTTAGTTACATTTATACGCTAGGGAACGTTAGCTGTTAATAGTTGCCAAGTAATCGGGAGTCTATGTCAGCTGGATTTCGAAAACGGTGCAAAGTTCATAGTTGTGAGTTTACGCGATTGCATGCTGTTACATCCATAGCTTAGAAGTAGAGGGATTAAACTGACAATGCTATAAACCCTTAGTTGTACATGCGGAAATTCCGACTGGTTGCATGGAACACAGCTCAAGTTTTAAAACCAAATAATTTCAACGTGCCGTCTGATTGGCTGAAAGTCTGACATCAGCTCACACACCTTTCCAGTTTAAAAAGATTGCGTATAAGGCGCTTTACATCGCAGTCGGCTTGTAAATCATGACGGCCCGACACTGTCCCCCTTGGCATAAGCTGCTGACTAGCGGTGAGAGCCGCTGATGGTCATGGTTTCGAATTCTGATGGATCCGATGGATGCGCATGATCGATGATGCTCAAAAAGACTGAAACTGCAATCTAGTGCTCTGCCGGGCTTGTGGAGGACTATGTGATTTGAAACCTGCTGCGACGAACCCACAATTAGCTACATATAAGATCGTTTGCTGAGTCGCTGGGGGGGGCGTCCGTATGGAATGTCTCCGTTCACTTTCCACTTCTTTGCTCACATCAGCATGGTGCCTTGGTTGTGGTTCCATTGACCCATGCAAAGCAAATGTAAAGAAATCTCTAGGTTGTCGTTATGTTTCACTTGCTCGGAACAGATGTGGTTCACATGACGCGTAGTCAAACGACTTTGACATTCCACTTCCTACATAACATCGCTTTTCCTTGCTTTAACAATGCATGGAATCTAAGGTTCAAGAGCATCCCTGTAGTTGTAAACAAAGACTGGGTCACCGGGATGAAAATATCTCTTGCGAGTCCCGTGCTTACTATTGAACTGATCTGCCATTTTCTGGTCAAGTTCGTTAACCCCCTTTGTTGGAAAGATGGCATCTAACGGTATGCGTAAACGCCCGCCAATAAAAAGTTCCGACAGTGATTGCTGATTTGGGAGAAAAGCATTTGATGTTGGCGTGTAAAAATACATCGAAGCTTGCAGCGATATCACTCTCACCTTGAAGTTTACACAAAACACGTTTGAGTGTATCAAGAAATCTCTCAGCTTGTCCACTCAACTGGGGATGACAATTGGGAGTGTACATGTTGTGTCCCCATTGGTTTGACAAAATCGGTTGAACTCGTTTGGTATGAATTGTGGACTATTATTACTAACGAGTGTTTCTGCGAAACCAAACTGTGAGAAACAGCGACGAAGAAGTGCAATCATTGAAGCTGTGGTTAGTTAAGCGGCACAAATTAAATGGGGCCATTTTGAGTACGAATCAACAATAACAGGAAAAGATGGATTGAGCAGTGGGCAAGCGTAATTCGCTTGAATCTGCATACAAGGGGCAGCTGAGTTTGACCAAGGATGAAGGCCAACTTTAGTGGAAGCTTTCACAGCCTGTGCATATTCAGGACACCTATGTACAATGTTTACAATATTATTATCAACATTTGGCCAATAAGGATAACATCTGGCAAATGATTACACTCGTGTACTTTCCTGGTGTCCAGCGTGCAGTATTTGAATCACTTTCACTCTGAGATTTTTAGAGATCACAATGCGAACCGCCAGCATTATACAGTCGTTCATTATTGTCAGGGCATCTTTATGCACAAAATGGTTTAATTTCAGCATCTGATAGAATTCTTGGCCAACCGTTGCGAAGATACGCCGTTGTAAACAACTATCTGATCGTGCAGACTTACAAAGGTCATTATACCGAACTGGTATGTTTCCTATAGATTCCTCAGAGATGGATCCAATGTCAGCATCAAGTTCAACTGAAGAAATGACGGTGTCTTTAGGTGGCTGCGAATTTGATCTGTTAGCAATCAGGTGCGATAAGGCGTCAAGTTAATCAAAACATTCCGAACAGATGTATTTAACGGTAAAATTGTATCCGAGATGTATTGTCGCCAAACGTTGCAAGCGACTTGCGTGTGTACAGGAATTCTTTTCTTGGCATCAAATATGGATAGTAGGGGCATGTGATCAATGCGTAATGTGAGTTTCCGACCAGGTAACAACTTATGAAAGTTTTTAACTGTAAACACAATTGCTAAACCTTCTCTTTAAATTTGAATGTAATCTCCTTCAACTGTTGTTAGTGTGCGTGAAACATGGCTAACCGCTTTTTGCCTGCCATTCGGAAACTGATGCAGGAGTGTTGTTCCAATCCTATACTCGGAAGCATCGGTAGTGTAAGATCCAAACGTAAAATACGTTTTCCTTTGTCAAATGTTGATTGGCAAGCTTGTGATCACCCCATTTTGCAGTACTTTTCAGAATTTCATTTAGTGGCATCATTGGCGAGTGCATACCAGGAACAAAATTGTTGTAATGGTTTAGTAGTTCCAAAAATGACTGGGATGTTCTCCTGTCCTTCGGAACTTGTAGCAGCTGGAATGTAATAATTTGTGATGGACCTTGAAGACGGCCAGTGGCATCGATGAATCAAGCAAAGTACGAAATGCGGGACACGAAGAACGCACACGTGTCAATTCATAGGGTTACTCCGAAGAACTTCATTCAGATGTGCCTGATGTGATTCAATTGTAGGGCTAACAATAATTAGGTCATCCATGTAAGTCACAGCAAGACAATCCGTTTAGCATTGTGTCCAATATCTGTTGGAAAACCGCCGTAACACACTCAATCCCAAATGGCCGCCAGTTGAATGAGCATTAATTGAGGTATCTTGATTCCTCGTTAACTTCGACTTGTATACAGGCATCAGAAAGGCAAATTCTGAAAATAATTTGTCACCACTTAACTGTGCAAACAAATCATCCGGAATCAGCAGTGAGCATTACTGAGTATGAAGTGCATCATTTAGCCCAGTTGAAATAACATCACAACGACGTACTGTGATTTTGGCCTTCATAACTACTACAATAGGAGTATTTTAAGTTGAATAATTAACCTTAGTTAGCACGCCTAATTGCTCCAAACGATTCAATTCTGCATCATCCAAACTACTGAGTACGGTACTGGCATCTCAGGACTGGGTAGTGGTTTTGCATCGGGTGCGACATACAAAGTAGCTCGAACTTTGGTGCACAATCCAAGTTCTGGCTTGAAAAGATTAGCATTTTTTCCGCAAGCTTTCTAAAATGTTATTTTCCCTTTTTACATACTCAGTTGAGGACACAGTTTGCAATTTCTGAGTCACAAATTCAACTGTTTGGAACATCCCAATAAATTTAGTTCATTTGCTGCTGCAATATAACACGTTCCCACGCTTTTGCGGTATACCAGCACGTGAAGTCCAGTCAATTACAAAAAAGCTACGGCCAAAATGGTTTTAACGTCTTCAGTTCAGCAGCCAGGCACATTAACACAACATCCACGGCGGTAGACCACGGCACCAAAACGTCCAGGCACATTGGATAAGATAACTACCAGAACTCGAAAAATCACGAAATCTCTTACACGAAATAGAGTCTACGAACTAAGGTAGACAGTGGAAGATAATTAATAACCAGGTGCCGAAGTGCGATGGATTTAGCTGCCACGAATCGCGTTGCCAGGAAAACGATAAATAATAACCGAGTAAAGTGAGGCAAGAGGTTGAGCGGATAAAGAAACTGATGATATTCCGGTTATATACACCAAAAGAGAAAAAAGGCGAAGCTCGCCTTCAGTGGGTCCTCACCACACTAACACACCACAAATGAATGGTATGAGGGCAAACATCAGAGGAGTATACAGGTCTAAATTTACATGTGGTATGCGAGTTATGTAAGCAGTATACAGTATGAGTTGGGCTAAACCAACTTACAATTAAACTAGGTCTTTTTAATGTGGATAAAATTCATTATATTTTATTTGGTTTGTTCTGCGTACTTGATAATCTTCTCCCAACCTACACACGTCGCTCATGTAAATTGTGGTAAACTTGCGTAATTTTATCGCGTGGTGTTTTAAATAACTTTCGGACATTTTGTACTTATCGCGTATTCATATTTAACCACTTTCTTCCATATGCTCATTTAGCGAGTATTTATGTCGTCATATGAGTTTACTTTATTCTATATCGGCATTTCGAACGATTGGCTGTTATTTGACATCCCAGGTGTGGCTGCGCTTGATGTGCATGTTGACAAGACGCCTACCCGTATAGTACCCACTACCTCGCCCATCTGGCTCCAGGAGACAGTTGGTCGTTGCTTGAGGGGACGTGGCGCACGGTCCTTGTGGTCGTGCTAGGCTCGAAGAGTGGTTCCATGCACTCAGTGTGGAGCGGACTACCGTCCAGCCACCGCATCGTGTGCGACTGATTCCCCAAATACAGCGTGCTTGTGTTTGCCTGTAAAGGAGTGTGGGCTGGCTCCGTTGATGAAACGTGGCTCCCATCCGCATGCCTCCCGGTCTTATTCCTTCGGGTTTACACTGGATATGCGGTGTGTGGATGGAGCTGTGGGTGGTACAGCGCAAGCCATCCATAGTCCCTCTGTAGGCGCAGGCGTCCTGTGGCTGGCCACAGTGACAGGCAAATCCGAAACCGGATGCCGCCAAACATACAGTATGAGTTGCAGCACATGACTAGTGCTCTGGTTTCGACAGCGGCCAAATTCGGGCTCACCATCAACGCAAGCAAAACTGTCTGTCTGTTTCAGCCTTCACCGGAGGTGCAATCTTCAATATTGCCGCGAATCAGCATTGGTGCTGAAGTATTGGAAACCACCTCCCGTTTCAGCTATCTTGGGAGTGTGATGTCG